TAATTCTTCCATTTTCCTTCACTTCCTGAAGTGGAGCATATGCCAAGGTCCTGGACTAAATTTATCTCTCAGAAGGAAGATGTAACATATATTCCACACACATATTATGTATTTTGTATCAGTTGAATGGTGAACCTGCTTTTATTGTCTTTGACTATACTGACACAGTATAGTTAGTTGCTAGTTTATAGATACTGTAACCAGAATGAAACCCTGGTGTCAAAAATTTGGCTTTTGCATATTCATTGACACCACTGACTTTAGTTCTGCCCATGCACATAAGAGAGAACCTGAATTTTATAACTCACTTGGAGAGTAGCCTGATTTAAAATGAGTACATGGCAAAGAATCTTGGTTTTGTTTATGAAAAGGAATGATGGAAGAGTGAATGTCTGTGGTGCAGCACAACTGAGTGGTGAAGAAAATATATGTAAACCATAAAATGACTGAATTGGAGAATACAAAGTTAATGATGGTTCTGTGGTTCCAGAAAAATCGAGATATACTTCCTGTACCTTTAAAGTACAGCAACACACCAGCGTTTTAAAGCAAAAAGCAATGAGTTGGGAACTTGTTGCAGAGTAGTGACCTATAGTCCGAGATGGTGAAATTCTCAAGGAGTAATTCCCTGTCCCGTTTTGCTCGTTCAGATTTGATGCACAGACCCGTAAGTCTGCCAGCCTCCCAGGGAAAAGGGATATGTCCTCCACAGGCACAACGCCTCACTGAAATGATTAGCAGTGGTGTGCTGTTCTGGCTCACTGGTGATGGAAGAAAAAGAAAAAAAAGAACAAAAAGAACTTGTCACTTCAGGGAAGAAGCCCAAACCTTAGAAGATATTGCTACTGCAGCTGCAGATTACTCACTGAACACTGTTCGTGGCCTATTTTCAACCTTTTTTGTTCCTAAGGTGCATTACTTAGGTGTTAGGATTTTTTTTTTAAATCGTAGGAATATACACAAATTCTTCACAGATTTCCTTTTGAGTATATTAGAGATAACCATTCTTAGACAAATCAGTTCATTCATAGAGGCACCTTTTCCCCCTTCACCCTGATAACATATATCTGAAGTCTAAATTCTGATGTGATAGGGATATGACTGTTTTTAAGAAAAATGCAAATCCTCACTCTGAAATAACTTAGTCTTTCACTGATTACAGATTGTGTTTCTAAACCACCTATGAGTCAGACTGTGAGTTGGAGTTCAGATAAACCCGTAGTGTTTGCTCACCAGATGGACCAGAAGCTCTGCAAAGCAGAGCAAAGGATATTGCTTATTAACATTGCTCTCAACTTCACTTATTTCTTTGTACAAAGTCTGGTTACTTGATGCAATTTTAGACCATATCTACACTGTAAGGAGGAGGAAACAATTTTTATAACAGGATAGGAAAATCTAGCAAAGTAGATCAGACTAAAATGGAACAGAATATGGTTCTTTTTTAACATCATTTTAAGTAGCCAAGATTGATACCCCCTGTCTCTCAAACACACCCACACTGAATTTACATACCTGTGCAGTGGTAAAAAATATTTAAACCAATTATCTGCTAGGATTCTAAAGCAAATTAACCAAGTCACATTCGTTATCCTTGCTTAAAATATCATCTCTTTGACAGTTAAGAGCAACAAACATAATACTTGTATATTTAGAATCAAATCTGGGTTTTCTCATGTTACTTTGTGCTAGACACTAATCATCTCACCTAACATGGGCAACATTCTTCTGTGTAACCAGATTAAATATTTTCTAATGCAACACAGCTCACTCGAGATGCCACTATTCATGAATGTGATAATAAGAGAATTCCGTTTTAAGTTTTATGTAATTTCTCATTTTGGTTTGTTCTTTGGATTTGTACAGTTCAATTTTTCACTTTCTGTGATTTTTTTTTTAATCTTCAGATTCTCAAGATAATCAGCCTTGCCCTTTTTACTTTTTACTTTGGATCAACACAGAAAAAAGTAATTAGTGAAATTACACTCCTTCTATTTGGCTGTTTTCTTCAGCACAGAAGGAGGATGTTTTGAACAGTTAGTGGTCATTGGTCAGAGCATGGTTTTAAAAATGATTGCCATACCTACAGCACTCTCCTTTCCAGATTTTACATGATCTCTCTAAATACAGGGAAAGGAGGATGTTGAGGGAAGAGGTGCCTGCTCCTCTCCTCGCTCCACTTTTTCTGTCAGTGCAGGAGCGTCTCATGCTGGGGCTCCCGCCCATATGTAGGGTTGACTTTGCACCGAAGATTCAGAACTTTATGGCCTATAAATTATTGTGGTTTGGATACAAATCTTCTCTCCAGATGGGCTTTCAGTAGGACATATATAAGACTGAGCATGCACTGCTGTTCCTCCCTGCCTTATCAGTCTCAGTAATTATATAGAGATTAGGAAAATGCACACATTTTCCAGCATAAGAGCTGCCCCATAAAATCTGGAGAAAATTTACCAATAGCTCATAAAAATTTTAAGAAGCATGGATCACAAGTTCATCATAACTACTGCTGTGCTCCTTTTATAGAAAGCAGTGTTTCCCTGTGCTAAAGCATTGCCTGGTTTGGATGTTGATTTCAGGACTTTCAGCCATTGTAGGGCATCCGTTGGAACATGCCTTCCATTTCCCAGTGAGGTTTGCAGGATCAGAATCAGGCCCTGAAGCCGGGGGTTCTTCAGAGATCTCAAACATTTGGCCTGTTCAAAGACTCTTTTCTTCTGGCACCATGAGCATCTCCTGCCCTCTACAAGCCTGAGGGAAGGCTGCATGGGGCAACCACGTGCTAAGACCACAACTTCCTTTTGAAGAGAAAAACATTTAATCCCAAGTGGAAGACACTTCTATCTTGTATTTATCAGAAGATTTGCTTGATTCTATTTATAATGCCCAACTATTTGATGGTTTAGGATAAAAATTATCCATTGACTTCCCGAGCTGTGCAGACTCTGTCAGAACACTCAGGGAGACTTTGAATCCTTTGGGTTTTTTCGTTGTAACAGCTCATTTTGCTGGACTGCGTGACCAGCAAATCTGATGCCCATGCAACCATGGGGAAGCTTGGCACTGTCCAAATTTGCTGTATCACGGGCTCTCTGCCCACTAAGAGCAGTTTGCCATCACCCCAGCTGGCAAAGATGGACACTGTTCCATTACATGAATGGAAGGTCAGCCAGACAATGCTCTGCCATCACACTGAGAGGATCCTTTCCCTCCTGACTTTCCTGGAAGTTACTAATGATGTATTTTGACCTCTCTGTTTAGAAACACCTTGCAGTCAGTGACACTTGGGAGTGTGGCCCTGTTTGAAACTGCATGTTTGTGCTTGGGCCTGATTCAGGATTCATTGCTCTATCCATGAGGAGCAACTGCAATGAGTTGATGGTTTTGCACCAGGACAGAACTGCTGTGACGTGAGTATTGACCAGCATCAGAAATCAGGACAGGACCAAAAGAGCCCCCCATACACAGGAAGTGCTGTGTATGGAACAACCTCGTTTTCTCGAGGACACAGTTTACCACTAGAGACTCAATATTTGTGCGTTAGGAAGAACACATTATTTATTTCTAAACCTGATTCTTCCATCAGATAATGAGATTAGTATCAAAACCTGCAATATTAGCAAGTCTGTATGTCCAATCATGTGCACCTCTGTAAAGTACAATGCTTCTTACCACTAATCTGCCATGTACTTCATCTGCTTCTGAAACAGTGCAACAAAGGATAGCTCCCTCTGAAATTTTATTTGTAGCTTCACTGGATCATGAGGCAAATTCCCTTAATAAGGGATGCTTCTGAATCTTACTACTTGTTTCATTTTCTTCAGATCCGAAACTAAAGCACCTTCAATGCAAGCAGAATCCTGCTGGTCTCTGCAAATCCTACCTGAGTGTCATTTAAAAAAACAACTGTTCTTATCAGGAGATAATATTTTTTTCCCTTTGGATTTGGTTTGTAAAGTGGAATTAGGTTTACAAAAAGAGGCACTGTGCAGGTAGATTAAAAAAAATGCCTACTTCAGTACTATCATCAGATAATGAGATCTTTCAGATTAGAAAGCCAATAGCAGTACGGGAGAAAAAGGCAGCTGAAGTCGTCCATTATGTTCACTTTTTGAGAACACTGGGCATTTAATTACAGTCACCTTGTGCCTAAGCCTGGTACCTGCAAACCTCAACGTGCTGTGCCCTCACTCCCCGGAGGCCAAACCCTGCCAGTGACCTTTTAGCTTAACAAACAAACAAAAAACCAAAACAAACAAACAAAAAACCAAAACAAACAAACAAACAAAACAACAAAAAAAAAAACCAAAAAACAACATCTCAGTCTTGGGGAATCTGGACCATTTTTGCCCATGGCAGGGTCCGCAGCCGCCCGTGCCGGTGTTCGCAGCCGGGGGCTGCCGCTGGCCAGGTGAGGGGCAAAGGCAGTGCCCGGGCGAGGCGAGGCGAGGCGAGGGCGGCCGCGGCTCCACCGCCCGCCAGGTGCCGCCGCCCCGCTCCCGCCCGCCGCCAGGCCGCGTTCCCTCAGAAGATGGCAGTCGCCGCCCGCCCCGGCGCCGGCCGCCCCCTCCCCGCTCCTCTCCTCTCCCGTCTTCCCGCCCGCCGTGAGCCGCGGAGCGGCCCCGCCCCGGCCCCTTCCCTCGCGTAGGGCCGGGGCTCTCCTGCCTGCCCGCCAGCGGCAGCAGCCCTGCTCCCGCTCCTCCCCCGCCTCCAGCCCACCCCCTCCTCCTCCTCCTCCTCCTCCTCCTTCCTCTTCCTCCGCCAACCCCACCCCTGGCCCCGGGCTGCCCTGCCGCCAGGGCTCCCTGCCGGCTTCCCCATCCCCACGCGCCGCGCACACCTCCTCCTCCTCCTCCTTCTCGCTCCCTCCCTCCTTCCCCCCTCCGCCCTCCTCCTGCTGACGTCTGGCTCTGCCCGGCTGAAAACTCGGTGCCGCGGCGGATGCGGCGGCTCTCGGGAGCGCGGCAGCAGCAGAAGCAGCAGCGGCAGCAGCAGCGAAGATGGTGGCATCTCCGTGCGCCCGGCGGCTGGCGCGGCGCTCCCGCTCGGCGCTGGTGGCGGCGCTCACCGTGCTGCTCCTGCAGACCCTCCTCGTCTGGAATTTCACCTCCCTCGACGCCGGCGAGGAGCAGCGCGGCGGCCGCGAGAAGCGAGACCGCGGCGGAGACCAGCGGGGGCAGCCGCAGCGCCGCGGACCCGCCGCCCCGCACGGCAAGGCGATGGTAGGCGGGGGAGCGGGAGCGCCCGTGTGTGTCTCGCCGCGCCCGTGCCGGCAGCGCGGGGGGCGCGGGGCGGGCGAGGCGCGGTCGCCCCGGGGCTCGCGGTCCCCCCGCCCCGCGCGGGCGCCTCCCGCAGGTGCCGCGGTGCGGGGCCGGTCCGACCTCCCGGTGCGGGGTCCGGGGGCCGGGCTGCAGAGCCAGGAAATGCATCCGTGGGATCCTCTCCCGTCCCCGAGAGAGGGTTCTCTCCTCTCGTCCCGTCCCCGGCGCTGCCCGCCGCGGGCATCCCGGCATCCCTGAACTTCGCGGGAGAGCCGCCTGTCTCGCATCTTCCTAGGGATTTGTTTTACTGCTGCTTTTGTTTTTTCCACCCAGAAAACCGCACAGGTGCTGTTCTTTATTGCACGGCTCTAACAGGCCCAATAGGTGACGGGCAGTGAAATGTAATGCAATCATTTTATCAACCGCTAACAACTCAGGGATACTGAAACTACACACACAGGATGGGGACTCTGTCTCTTTCCTCTTTCTTTTGCAAACTCCCCGGTTTTCATTCAAATGACTCGGGCCTGAAACCGCAAGGGATTGCAAATCTGGCTCTATTGCCAGTTGCATTTTTGAATTTTCTAGTAGGCACTTGAAAAGGCAAATTAACAGTGTTCTTGGTCAGTTAATGCAAACCTTAGATATGTACCACCAGTACTAGTATTCTTCAGCTCTTGAGAAGCTTCCTTTGGTTTTCATTTAATTCTTTCAGCAGTAGGCTTATATTAAATAAGTCCTGCCTCTCAAAGTATGCATGCTTATTTTTGTCTGTTTCTATATCTCTGTTTACATCTTGAAAGCAAGAGCTTGGGGAGATGATTTACCCTGGTAAATGACTGTGGGTGTTTTGGCCACAGAACGGCTGGAGAGAACTGTGCCCTGAACACACAAGTACTCTGTCAGTAACGTTTGGGACAACTTTTATGAAAGGTGGTACATACCCATCCACTGTGTGCAAATCCTGCTGTGCTTTCCAGAGCTGAAAATTAAAATTCTTGTTTACTGAATTCAGTTTTTATCTCTACACGTAATCTGGGTAGTTGTCATCCTCATAAATGTAGCTGTTTAGGCTCCACTATTTTTCCTCCAGCACCCTACCCTCTACCTCTTTTCCTGTCTGTCTGGTCTTTTATTCTTTCATCTTTCAGTCTTCTCCAGCTTTTCCCTTTTCTGATCTCTCCACCGTGGTTTATCGAGGTTGGCGGATGCTGGTACCTGGGCAGACAGGGGGCCGGGAGGTGGCAGGCTGCACCTGGGGCTCCAGCCCTGCTTCCCAGCTCCCCAGGCTTTCTAGGAAATTATCTTCTTCTGTGGGCTCCGGGGCAGCGTTGGAATGTGTGCTGTTAGCAGTTGTCCTACAAACGTCCTGGCACAGTGTCCAGTTTGCGCCCAGCGCGCTGGAACAGGCGCCGAGTTCAGGGCCGAGAGCTAATTGTTTCCGTGCTGCTGACACGCAGACGTAGAATATGATTATTTTGACGCTGGCAGTTCTGAATCATGCCTTTGTGCATACAGTTTTGATCAAAGACCTAAAGATGGAGCACTGGGGTTCTGAATAGAAAACATGTTTTAAAACACATGCTGAGTTGCACCTATTTTCCCCTTGTTGTCTGAATGACTCGTATGGATCTCACTGGGCCGTGCTGCTGTGTCTGACTTTGGGAAGCAACAATGCTCAAGACAAGTGGCAGCATAATTGACAAAGTGCTTTGTCAAGAGGTGACTTGGTAATGCTTCTTCAAGTTTACTTTATGGTACTTGTGGCTTTGCTTAACCTGCACCCTGGGAAGTGGCCGTCATCCTTAAAATTAGATTAAAATGTGTACTTGGTGGAAAAGTGATAGGGAGATTGGGTTTGTGTAGATTTCTGCCTTAAAAACCTGGCAGCTGGCTTACATTGGTAGGTGAAGTTCCCAGGCACTCCTGACATGAAGATGTTGATTTATCTAACCCAGGCTATGTTGCCTGTCTCTGAGGCAGGCCCAGTCTTGATTTCAGACTCAGTTCATGAGGAAAATCTCTAATCAATGGAATTGCACAGTACATAATTGATGTGAAAGAAAATTGTCTTTTTTGCCTCTTGCTTTGTTTCCCCATTACAATGCAATTTATGTAATACCCAAGCAAATTTATTATCCTTCTCAACCCAAGTTGCCCACAGTTTGTGTATGTCAAATTGCTTTGCAACAGTTGGATAAGCTAGCTGGTGTGAATACAGTAGTTCCATTATATCCAAATGTCTTTGGGTTAAGCGCATCTTAGGGGCCCTTCACCAAAAAAAAGTATTGCTTTTAATGTGTCTTTGCTCTGTGAAGGAAATGGTGTGTTTTAATATATTTTGAGGAGTATATTTTTGAAAGGCTGCTAAATTTTTGTCTGTGATGTAGTACTTGATCATGTTTTTTTCCCTTACCCCACTAACTATAAGAGCGTTTATACTAAATAATTATGCAAACCAAATTTTGGACACTTTGCTGAAGGTAGTGCTTCTCAAACCTGTGTCTGAATGTTGCCATATGAGGTTACCATGTTTTTATTTACTGTGGTTTTAGTTTGTCTCTGCTCTATGTGCAAGACTGAAATGGGGGTACCTGTTTTACTTTACTGGGTTGGACGTAAGTAGTGTGAGGAAAAGAAACATAATCCTTTGAACCAGGTGCTTAAAGGTTATTCAGCTTTTTATTAAATGCTGTCAGATATGTGTAATAAGCAATATAATTTGGTAGATGAAATAACATTGTACCATAGTAAAAGGGCTACCCCCATACCTGTGCGTAATTGAATGGGAATTGCCAGCTTGGCAGGAAGAGGCAATTTTGAACGGAGCTATTTTGCAACTGAAAACACTTACTGTGCTAGATCCCCTGGCCAGCTACATCTGGAGCTTTCATTAGTCATAAGCAGTTTCCTGCAGTTGTTCCATATTTAATTAAACCAGCTTATAGATAATTTTAAAGAAGTATGAACTGTATCGTTAGCAGTTATTTCAGTGGGTACTTGCAACCATTTTTGCAGCTGCTCAGCACCCTTTGCACAAGCTTTATTCATGCAGCAAAACTCAAGCATTGAAAGCACGGAAGAATTGAGCTGAATTCTGAGAATGGTTTGATCTTTATGTAAGGGTCTTTATCTTTGAAAAGTGTGCAACACCTTTTTGTGAAAATACCATAAGTGTGCTGCTCAGTCTCAGGCCTTTTTAATGCAGCTTGCTAGCCATGGTGGAAGGGGCTTGTGGATGTTGTGTGTTGGGAGCCCAAAGGGAAGCAAATGGAATGCAAATCCAATCCCCGCTTCAGGGCTGCTGGTGATGAGAGGGATGTGACAGCAAAGCATCTGCTGTGGTCGCATCTCGCGCCCGGAGTTACACTGAGGGGCGGTTGTGGGTTGCAGTGATGCACTTGTGTTACCCAGCTGCGGCCCCTGCCTCGGAATTCAGCGTTGAAGGCCATGTCTGTGGGGACGTGCTGCTCCTTTGTGCCTCCTGGTACTGTTGGGTTTTCACTGCTGTCTGTTTTGCCATAAAGCAAAAATGCCAGTGCATTGTTACTGTGTCAGTTGAGTGAAATACAGCTCCTACCTGCTGGTGTTGGGATCAAAGCATTTCTTTAGTCTTAAATTTTGTGTATTCGTTTTAAAGAAACGGCGTGTTTCTTCCAGCGTGAAGCTGTCAAAGGAACCAAATGTATCGATAGCTCAAAATGTTCAGAACTGGAGAACGAAAAGGAAGTGTCATGCGTTTGGGGACAGTGAGTAGCTTTAATTCCAAGCAGAAGTTAAGCTAGGGAGAATAGTCCTGAGGATCGCTAGTGCCTCTCTTCCTTTTTATTTCTGTAGTGGGAAATGGGGTGTTTCTTTTTCTCCTGGGACTGTGTAGAGCAAGGCTGGGTCCTCCATGGGTTGATCAGCTGAATGTGCACAAGCACTTTATATTTTTTTCTTGCTTCCTTCCTTGCCAACTCCTAGTCGTGCATGCTGGGCTCCACCAGGTAAAGGTGAAATAAGCCAAAAGTGATCACAGTGTGTACCTAAACTCTGCAATCCCTGTTGGTTATTGAAGCAAGCAAAGGCATCCAGTGGATGCTGCTCTACTCCACGCTAACGGTTATAAAACCTGTGATCAGTTGTTGTAACTAATGGCAAAGTAGCAGCAACTCTAATGCTGGAGAACACTGGGGACATCATACAGCAAAGAAAACCCAGGAGCCTTTACTCCACTTTCTCTGAAGTCCATCCTTCGGTTATTTCCCCCGCCTTTTCAAAATGCTTCCCTAAACTAAGAATGGTGCAGAATTCACCTCGTATGTAATTCAAAAGCTTGAGGTTCTTTCAGGCTCTTTTGAAGTGTATTTGCCCCTGGAACTTTCAGATTCTGCTGGTGGATTCCCAGCACTGTTTAGCCAGAAACATGCCCTCAGCCTTTACCTACCCTCTGCCGAGGGTACCTATTTAAACATCTTCCCCTCTAAGAAGCTTGTTGATGTAGACATGTGGCTTCAAAAATTTCATCTCTGAACAGAAGAAATGAGGGAAAACCGGTTTGCAGAAAAGCTTTCAGACCTGAAAGGTTCAAAGAGGCTTAATGTGATCTGGCCATTTGCATGTTAATCTTCAGTCCAGCGTGAATCAAGCTCTGGAAACTGGGTCTCACTTGTTTTAATGCACCAGTCTCGTTGAAACAACTTAGTTAAGGTACCTTAAGTTATGAATAAAATTAATAATGTCGAGCTATTATGTGTCCAGAAATGATATATTTCTTAGGGAATGGGTCCATGGCAGTGACTTGAGCATTACTTGTTATCGGGAACTTAATCATGCTGCACTACAGCTTTAATAACAGTTGAAAAGGAGAATGGAGACAACTAATCATTTTGTAATGGCAAAGGGGGGGAGACAATACATCTGCAGCTGGAAGCTGTGTAATGATTTCTACAAAGTCTTAGCGCTTAACAAGGCACACG